TAACGACTGAGCCACCCAGGCGCCCCTTACCTCATCTTTAAAAACTGTAAAAAGTGGGGGAGGCCGGGGTCACGCTCAGGCTGTAGCTTGCGGACCCCTGCACCACACTGTGAGAACCCCTGGGAGGAAGAAGTCCACCTGATCAATGCCGGGGACTCCAGTACACAGAGCCAACCTTACATATTCACTGCCTGCCCCAACCCTGCTGGGCTCCAGCGTGCCAGGCTGGGGGTACAGTGGAGCTGGGGGCCACAGGGGGGCTGGGGGTCAGAGGTACCGGGGGATGGAGGCATGGGGGGTGGGGTGGCAGAGCGTATGGGGATGTTGGGGCCTGAGGCATGGAAGGGCGCCGGGGGGCCAGGGATGGACAGGCCGGGGGGACTCAGGGGCTGCCACTGGGGAGGTCCCTGCGGTCACCGAGCGCACCCTCCAGGGGAAGGGTAACTGGGAAGCAAGGGGGTGTCCTGGAAGGCCCAACTGGGAGGGGACATATGGAACTGGAGGGGCGGCCCCCTCCCATTGGGTGGCAAGAACCCCTGGGAGGAGGAGGCACCTGCTAGGAGTGACGGGAAGGAGTCCCTGCTCTGACCTAGGACTGCGCATTCCTTGTGGTACAAAGCGAGGCACATCTACATTTCTCCGCTCTTTCTTCCCTTCCTTAGGACCGACCCCTGCTGTTCTTTCTAGCGACCCTGCTCCGTCTCAGCTCAGCCGTCGCCAGTCCTTCATCTGCCCTGAAGTCTCGCCTCCCGAGAAGCCTGCCGGCCCCAGATGACCAGTCTGGAGGGTAACGAACTGGGGTCCTCTGAGGATGACCCCTTTCTACCCAGAGGCACTGCGGGAAGGTGTCCCTGAGGGTCCCAACAGGCCCAGGGCGAGTGAGCACCCACAGGGGTCTCCCCACAGCTGCTGTCCCTGGCCTTTCCCAACCTCCCCCACTGTTCCTCTAATTAAACCTACCCTATTTGAAGCAGCTGAAGGCTCAGTTCTTCCATTCATGAGGGGTCAAGGATACCAAGAATCATAGACACCAATTCTGGTGACAACCTGTAAGGAGCTTCTGCTAGGCTGCCCACTTTACGGGTGAAGAAATTACAGACCAGAGAGATTGATGATTAGCCCAAGGTCACACAAATGACCCAGGTTTGACTTATTACAAAGTCTATTTTTTGTTGTTGTTCAAAGATTTAGGTCTCCCAGCTGAGGAAATAGGGATCTGAAGATGTAGTGACCCCAAGATTAAACTGGGTCCCAGCTCTCCAGCCTGTGTGCTTCTTTGCCCATATTACATTTGAGGATGACCATGGTCCTGGTTGAGAGCTTGGGCTCTACGAAGGAGACAGGTTTCTTGAGCGTAAATTCTGGCTCCACCCCCTTACGGGATTGCAACTTCGGGGAAGTTATTGTCTATCAATGCCTCATTTTGTCATCTGTAAAATGGGGGTATTGACAGAGTAGAAGCCCTCCCATCATCATGACCAGGACCAGTCATTGGCTGGTTCATCAAAAAGTTCATTAAAATAGGCAGTTGAGGGGACCGCCTGGGTGGCTCAGTCATTAGGCGTCTGCCTTCGGCTCAGGTCATGATCCCAGGGTCCTGGGATCGAGCCCCACATCGGGCTCCCTGCTCAGCGGGAAGCCTGCTTCTCCCTCTCCCACTCCCCCTGCTTGTGTTCCCTCTCTTGCTGTGTCTCTCTCTGTCAAATAAATAAATAAAATCTTTTTTAAAAATAGGCAATTAAAAACACTTTAAGACATACAAATGTACACTCATTTGGTCCAACAGAACCAAGGTTTTGTTTTGTGTTTAGTATGGGTCTATGCACCTACAATTTTCAATTTGTCCCTTTAAGCAGGAGCAAAAATACAAGCACTCTTTTTTATTTTTTTATTTGAGACAGAGAGATACAGAGAGAGAGAGAGAGAGAGAGAGAGCATGAGCAGGGGAGAGACAGAGGAAGAGGAAGAAGCAGGCTCCCAGCCGAGCCAAGAGCCAGACATGGGGCTCGATCCCAGGAAGCTGGGATCATGACCTGAGCCAAAGGCAGACGCTTAACCATCTGAGCCACCCAGGCGCCCCATAAAATACAAGCACTCTTGCAGAGCAATTGGAACGTAGAAATTTTCTAGAGAACAAGAGAAAAAAAACAAGAGAAAGAAGTCCATTCTTACAACTGTCTTGCCCATTCGAATTTAACACATTTTTGTTGTTCTGTTTTTGTTTTTGTTTAGAGAGAGAGAGAAAGCACATGTGCGTGGGGGGAAGGGACAGAGAGAGGGAGAGAGAAAATCTTAAGTAGGCTCCACGTTCAGCATGGAGCCCGACACAGGGCTTGATCTCATGACCCTGAGATCATGACCTGAGCCAACATCAAGAGTTGGACACTTGAACGACTGAGCCACCCAGGTGCCCCATTCTGGTTTTTTTCTTTAAAGATTTTATTGTAAGTAATCTCTGCAATCACCTGGGGCTCAAACTCACAACCCTGATATCAAGAGTCACTTGCTGCACCAACAGAGCCAGGCAGACACCCCCCTTCAAGCATTTTAGAAAGCAGTATGCTTGCCGTGGGCCTTCTGCAGCCCTGAACATCAGCCGGTGTGTCTGAGAGAGGGGATGGGGTACATCAGTTACGCCAGGAGTCACTCAACAGTGGAATCCGCTTAAGAAAGATTCTACTGAACCTACCTCACTGCGTTATTTTCAGGTTTAAGTGAAATAATATTTGTCAAACACAATGCCTGACATTGTTCTCTGTAAATGCTGGTTACGTTGTTACCTAGGGCAGGGGCGCCTGGGTGGCTCAGTTGTTGAGCAACTGCCTTCGGCTCAGGTCATGGTCCCAGAGTCCTGGGATCAAGCCCCGCGTCGGGCTCCCCGCTCCGCGGGAGGCCTGCTTCTCCGTCTCCCACTCCCCCTGCTTGTGTTCCCTCTCTCGCTGTGTCTCTCTCTGTCAAATAAATAAAATCTTTAAAAA